GGAAACTATAAAGGATTATATATGCATAAAGCAAGATTATACTTTTTTGTTCATGTGTTTTATTGCCTAGTTCTTTAGCATATGCATATATATGAAATATGTATGCAGTCAAATGCTGTACCACTGAGTTATACACTCCTATATGAGCTAAGTATGAGATTAATCTCATATATATCCTCTTCTTAATTGAACTTCAAATTCATCAAATGTTGGGATTATGCTTACAGCTGCCATCCATCCATGGGGGAAATATCATAGTGAAGAGCTATTTTATGCAGAAGTTTTAACAGCTGGGGACCTAAGACTTCATTTCATATCTTGGTTTTACTGGTTTTCATTGTGTTACCAAGGCAAGTTGCTCAAGTTATCAGACTTCTCTGAGTCTCAGTTTCCTTACCTATAAAATGGACATAACACCATTGTAAAGGCAGGATTGGATACAGAGCAGGTTTTCTAGGATCCCATGCAGACCGGGTAAAGGAGGAGTCAGAGTCCTTAGTGGCGTTTTTGCAGGTCTTTTATTGGGGTTCAGCGGGTATGTGGCAGGCAGGGGTGCTGGGAGGATGGCTGTCCTCTCAGCCCCCAGCAAATCTTCACTCTATCTGGGCTCTCTGGCGTTCTCTGCTTCTGCTTCGGGCTTCTTCTCTTTCAGCTTCTATTGGCGTCCCCGTGACACCGCCCTTAAAAAGCACAGTCTTAGCGCATGTGTACCCACATCAGGTGCCCGCCATCAGGCATGCATTCAGGATCACAGGGTTCCCTCATCTATCCTGATGGCGGGAGGGCAGAAAAGCCTGATTTTTTACCTTACCCTACAACCATACTCAAAATTTCTGTAAAGATTTATCGTGATTAGACACTTGTCTGATAGGAGTCACTTAGAAAATACTAGCTTTCTTATCTTTCTTACTTTTGTGAAACTTGGGGGAAAACATCTCAAAACTATTATCTGGATGTATTGCATCTGCATATAATGTACTGTTTATTCACTGCATTTAAGTGTCAATAACTTCTCAGCAAATGTTGTACTACTGAATTATTGCTGTTATGTTGAGCCCATATTTAATGAATGACAGTAGACTTTATTTTACCATGTTGGTTTCACAGAACTGAAGGGCTTTTTATATTCCAGGTGTAAAATCAAGGAAATGTGTCCCTTGTGATTAATAACATGTGGTTATTAGCAAATCCAGACCCCAACTTCAGGTCTTATTTGTAGATATTACAGGTGAGAGCTCTTGAGCCATTACAAAGTCCATGATTCACCTGGTCAATTCCTTTATTGATAATGCTAAATTACCCTGCATAATGAGGCATCTGTTCAGAATAAGAATACCATTCTGATAGTGTCTGAATGTTTGACCACCTCTCCATGTCTAGACAGAGGCAGTTAGGAAGCATTAACACACAGTAAGCTAAAACTGGCCTGAAATCTAATTCAGCAAATGTTATTTTCACATGCTATAATTGATTATTTAGTCTTCCCTTACTGGGTTATGCATTTCCATTGGTGCCTCTGATTCCATTTCCCCCCTCCCCTGTGGACACTTCAATTCTGAATGGTTGGCATTGGCTTATTCATTTATTTATTTATTACCTAATTCTTGAGTTGGAACAGTGTTGACTGAAAAAAAAGCTCCTTCCCTATTTTGCTTCACTTAAGTTTGAAATTCCTGATATTCAAAGCTCATCTCTCCATTAGTATTTATGATGCTGCTTTCCCCTCTGTCAGAATGCTCTCATGGTGCTGGTGCTGTAGGTGTGGGCAGGGAAAGAGCTCTGTTCATGACATAAGACTGAGACTCATAGTTGATGATCTGAGTTTGACTTTACAAAAGACTTAGCAAAGCTTTCCCATGATTGTGCCTCAGTCAGTGTTCCTCAAATATCACCAGAATCAACAGAGGTTTCTCAGGGACAGATTTGCTTGTGCATTTTATTCATCTGTGTATAACAGGATCTACCACATGTTAGGCATGTGATGAATAATTGTTGAAGGAAGAGGGTCTAAAAATAAAAGAGAGAGTGAAAACTGGTCCAACCACTATAAAGAGCTGTGTGGAGATTTCTTGACCTACTAAACACAGAGCTTCCATATGATCCAGCAATTCCACTCCTAGGAATTTACCCAAAGGACACAGAAACATCAATTCCAAAGAGCACCTGCTCCCCTATGTTTATAGCAGCACTGTTTACAATAGCTAAGCTTTGGAAACAGCCCAAATGCCCAAAAATAGATGACTGGATCAAGAAGATATGGTACATATACACCATGGAATATTACTCAGCATTCAAAAAAGATAAACACATGCAATTTGCAGCAACATGGATGGTGCTGGAAGGGATCATGCTCAGCGAAATAGGCCAGAAAGAAAAAGAAAAATACCGGATGGTCTCACTCATAGCAGGAATCTAGAAAACTTAAATAAGGGACCATGAAAATGAATAACTATAAGAAAGTGAAAATCAAAATCAACAAAAAACTATGAACCAGAGACACTCTATGGGTGGTGGGGGGCAGCGAGGGGAGGGATTGGGGTCAAAATAAGGAGGTTGCAATTGTATGGGGAATATAAAAATAAAATTTATTTTTAAAAAAAAAAATTAAAGAGAGAGGTGAAATTTCTTGAATGGGCTGTGTATTGTATGAATGAGAAAGAACTTTCATGTATTCATGACCCATCCATGCCTTTGTTCTGGGTAGTGGACAGTGAGGTGTGGTGAGGGTTCACCATCTGAGACAGAAGCTATAGACTGAGTCTTGGTGATGTTACTCATTCTGTGAGTATGGTGGGCACTTTTTGGCTTCCACACAAAGCATCTATTACTCAGAGCTCTAATTTCCCTGCATAGTTCTGTTCTTCTCAGATGTGATCTGGTTGATTAATCTCAGGCAGCATCAAGGATAGTTCCAAAGGGGTGTTGGGAAGATTGAGTTAGTATATTCAAGGCACTTAGAACAATGCCTGCCTAGCACTGACTAAGTGGTGTTGTTACATAAACCGATATTTTCTTTGTTGATGAATAACATTTGCAATAATACAAATCATTGAATTAGGTGACATCCTGCTATTTTATCTTAAACTCCACAACCTCCCTTCTAATTGATGAACTCATTCAACTAACTAGCCAATCTTTTATGATGCAGATGGTACATGTATACTACATTAGTTACAGTAGGGGGCAAAGGCAAAGGAAACATTTTATATTTTCATGGAGTTCAGAAAACACTTGTCTTAGTCACTCTCTTAGCGGGTCTGAAGCCAAAATTATCACACTTGGTGCAAGTGAATAAAATGTGGATTGTTGCAGTGGGAAAATGCCCATTTTTGTCCACTTATGAGTTAACTGGATGTTACTAGAAGATTTGACAAGCATCCCTTAGGCTTTCCCCTCTATTCTGGTGTTCAATAGACAGAGACATAAGAGGGCATGGAAGGGAGGTCTGCTCTATGGATTCAGTTGCTGAGAGGTTCTTTAAGTTGGAAGCATAAAAGAACTCCCTTTTTGTGATAGAATTGAAAACTGTGATTTTATGCTCCTTACATGCTTCCACTTAAAAGGACCACTTGAGCACCTGAATCCATTTAAGATTCCTAATTGTAGCTACATGTTTGAAAGGGGCAGAATTTATACTCATTGAATCTTACAAGTGAAGATTATGTCTATTCTTACACCCTAGTTATTTATTTCTCTTTCCCCCCATTGCTCCGTGTAATTTATTGGAAGGAAAAAAAAAAAAACAGGCAATACAATTGCCCTGTGATCTTGCCATAATATTTTAAAATTATACAAAATGAGGTTGAGGAATACATGAAGCTTGGAGAATCTTCAAGTTCTGTGATTATGGGAATAAATACTACGGATATTTCTTTCCTCTGCTTAGAAGAATTGCTGGCTCAACCCTTTTTTGTGGCAAGATTCTCCTCAGCCCTCTAAATTCAGATTAAATATCATGTTCCCCACTCTTGCATCATCTCTGTAGTCCCTGCAGTGAGTATTCCAACTGGAGCTGTAATTATATATTTCACTCTTTTTGCTCTAGTTCCATCCCTCTGTAGAGTCTTATCGATTAGTCTAGATTTGCTTCCAAGCTGTGAGTTCCTGGAAGGTAGAGGTGATATCTACTTATCCTAATTGTAGACATTGTGCAAGTAAGTTGCCTATTCAGGCTAAGAGTCTCAGTAAATATCTGTGGGATGATTGAATGAATATCCCCAATTCCACGACCTTAGTAGATTTCAAACTTACATGGAAATTAGATGTGTGTGTTTACAAGTTGGGGGATGTTAAAGAATTAGCTTATGAAGACTGGAATTAGTGTTCACTAGATGGGCTCAATCCTGCTAATCTTTTTGGGGAAATCTGAGATACTGTGATACTGGGACCATGGCTATCTAGAGATCCATACAAAAGTGGCAGATATTAGATATGTTTATATTTTGCTATCACACAAACTTTATTACTGTATAAAATGTTCTCTTTAATATTATATTTAACTTCTGATTTTGTTAACTATTCCTTAAAGACGATCTACATTTGGACACTAATTGAAAAACTCAGTCATCTTCATAATCACCTAGTAACAGAAACTATGGATTGGCTACCCATGAACCTATTTTCCCTTTTCTTTCTCTACTTTAGAGAGCAGGAAGCAGAAACATCTTCCCAGATCTCCCTGCAGTTAGTGTTGGCCATAGCACACATTTCTAGCTGATGAGAGGAAGGCAAACATCTCTTCCCAAAGTGAAAGTTCCTGTTTGGAACTTTCATGCCTTGAGAAACAACGGCCATCTGACCCCGGGAAGACTAATCTATAATCAGAAATGACAGGGAAGGAGACTGGGTCATGGATATGCTACTGAACCATCCCACTAGGATGGTCCTTCTTATGATGTGCACCAGCGAATAGGCTTCTTACTTTTCTAAGCCACTGCAATAGAGTTTTCTATTCTTCTCAGCCAAACACAACACAATTAATACAATACATTGAAATAGGCTGGTTTATGCTGCAGCAAATATACAATCTGTTCATTTCAGTAGCTACACACACACACACACACACACACACACACACACAGTTTATTTCTTGCTCATGGTGTGGCTACTGTGGTTTTATATGACTCTCTAGGGAGCTGACATGCATGTGCCAACTCAGCATTCCAGGCTAATGAACTCTCATGGCAATTCCATATCAACATACACCCCCTTGATCCCTGCAGCAGGGGGAAGACACAGAGTTGGAAATTTGATCAAGTATGATTAAGTACCCTGGCCAGAAGTGGCATACTTTCTGTCAGCACACATTTCATTGGCCAATCCAGATTATCTGGCCTAGAGCAATCCAAAGAGTGTAGAGAACAATCTTCATGATGGAAGAGGAGTCTGGAGATTGTTGAGTAGTAGTTATGTCTACTTTATCATCAGAGATCTTCATTGTCAGTTGAAAACTAAGGGAACAATATTATTGAAAAAATGACCAGGCAAAGCCGTTTATATGATTTGATTAGATAAAGAGCAAAACCTTCCTGTTCTAATAAATAAAACCAGCTTCACCTTTTTTCACATGGCGTTATATGGGAGCAGAGCTGTGCTCTAACAGGTGTGGCAACAGGTATGAGGCACCATGAGTTACAAAACACATGGAATGTGGAGACATTCTCATTAACCCACTGGTGATTTTCCACGAGTTCTCTGATATTTCTCCACCAAACTGTGAATCTGCTGTGATTCTAAAAATGAAATAGGGAGAGAGGCTGCTGGTCTGTAATTGCTCAGGACACTTTCCAGCTGCCGTCCCAGCAGGTCCTTCTCCTAACTCGTTTTCTCATTGTTGTAACACCAGTGAAATTATTTTAAAAAGTCTCTGGGAGTTTGGTAAATAGATTTGAGTTGAGCATGACTCAGAACACCAGGCTTTTGCGTGGATTCAATGAAAAAGTTGTTGGCACGCTGGAGGGTAAATGGTGCAAACTTTGGAAATATCAGCCAAGAAAATGCGCAGTTTGCAAATACTATTCTATTGGGTTGTCTTGGACATTCAGTGAGTGGGTGGAGGACCCCCTTCCAGGGCTGAGTCTGTTGCTGGCTGTGATGCTTTGCACCTTAATGATCTTTGAAATCAGACATTTTAACCTTTGAGTCCAGCCTTGACATTTTCTAGTTGGTGGACTTAGTCACCTCTTCTCCTTAAACTTCAGTGTCCTGTCTGGGCAATGGAGATAACACCACCTCACTGACAGGATTTTAGGGAGGATAGATAGCTGTAAGGATTCCTCGTGAATTTGCTTTACTGTCCTCTGCTCCCCATGGATTCTCCTTTCTCAGTAGAAGTCAGATAATTTTGAGTAAGATAGTTTAGATTTTTCAGGATCAGACTAAGTCTCTTAAAGTTTTTCTTTAAAAGTTATCCTTGAAAAATTTTATATTTCATGAAAATATATAAAAAATTCTAGTGTCTTTCTTCAGAAGTCCTTAGAAAACTGTGAGAAAATTTAACATTTGAATGAGTTTTTATTTTTTATGGGAGTGTCCAACTCCAGGGATAGAATGCAGAGATCTTTTGATTGACTCTGGACTTTATCTATTGGAGGCTTGGCTCAGTGGTGTTATGGAAAAGCTGTGAATTATGGACAGAGGGACTAGGAGTTGCAGTTGAGCAGCTGTTGGCTGGGTGGGCTGGATACCTGCAGGAGTAATGCTCGGAGGCCTCAGGTGGTATTGCGCTGGCTTCTGCAGTAGCACGTATTGAGTGAGGTAGGTTCGGTTTAGGATATGACTTTGAAGAAGGCAAGGGTGCAGTGAGAAAGAAGAGTTGGAGGGTGAGACAGGTTGATAATATAAATTATGGCTACAAGCACTATTTTATACCATGGTCATGTGCTAATGATAATAAACATTGCTAGAACTTATTTGGGACTTAGTATGGGGTAGGTGCCTTTATAATTGCTATTTCATTTAATCATCAAAACAACCCTGACAGTCTCTGTCATTATCCCCACTGTATAGGCAAAGGAACTGCAACTTCTTAAGTTCGAGGAACTTCCCTAGGGAGGCAACTAACTGTTTTGGTCACAACCTGAATTCAGCTCGGCTTGATTATGAATCATTTCTTCCCCCACTTAATTAACCTGTCAACATATTAATGAGATTGCAAGGACTCGTTTCTCAAAGAAGCTGCAGCAATAAGACATGAGACAGAAAGGAATGAAGCTGTAGCAGATAAGGGAGAGCAAGGATATTACAGAATTTAACTAAATCGTATTAGGAAAGTAAAATTGTCCTGGTTTCACCCACCAGCATGGAGGCACTTCCAGCTCTTCCCTGGTCCTGTCTGGTCCTCCTGTCTGGTCCTCTCGTTGGCCCTGATGTCACCTCACCCACAGTATAACCTGTGGAGACTCTGTTCGCTTAGTTGCCTATGAAGATGTGATTTAAAAGTGATGGGTGCTGAGATCAGGAGTTGACATTATTTGAGAAATCTGATGTTAAATTTGGCTCCTTTTCTCTTCAGAGAAAAGGGTGCTAAGGGAAAAGTAAAACCTTACTTTTAGTAAGGTTTAGTAACTGAGTTAGTACCTACTTGATTAATGCCACAACAATTTCATAATCAGTAGACAAAATTTCAGCCACCAAAAGTAATTTCAAAATACTCCAATATTTGCTATATATTCTTATATTTAAGCATCCTAATTCTTAGAATCACACTCAGTTTTAAGTACATCAAATGTTCTGTCCCACTCACTGCCTTCATACATTGCAGCTGTTGTCATAACTCTTACTTTAAAACTCCCTGAGATTTCTCTTCCAGGCTAAGTCTATGTACTCTTAGCTTTTTCTTAACTCTTTTTCTAATCACAGTGCACACCCCTCTGATGGAGAGGACCCCCAACATTGAGAAAGTCAAGGTTGAATCCTCATTAGCAGTCTGCACTAGGCAGAAATCTGGAAAATCTCACCCTAATAGCTTTTGTCCTATGAAGGTGTTTTTGTTGACCACCAACTCTTGAAGTGGGAGTGAGGGTAGTAGGGCAGCTGCTTTCACAGCTGGCCTAGAAAGCACTGTGGTGGCATTAGTTTGTTATCTTTGACACGTAGGCTCTCACTTTCTGATTATTCAGAGTCATGAAAGGCTATTAGTTTAAATTTGATTTTGCACCGGAGAACACTCTTAATGTAGGCAAACTCTCCGAGGCAGCTCTTAATTATGCTCAAATATTCACTGAGGGACATGTTTGGCCTCTAGAAGTAATTCATACTCAGTAGTCCAGAAAGAAGAACCCCTAGTAGGATAAATGAAAGTGTCTTTCTCCTATACAAAATCAAATGTATTATTGCTTCAAGCCAAATACCTACAGTTCATAATTATATCTCACATGGTTCCTTAGCCCTAGCATCACTGCAGTCTTATTCAGTGCAAAAGGCAAATGTTTATTAATTTGAGGCCAGATGGAAAGCTTGATAGATTTTACTATTATGCCCAAGAGAGCACTGTTGGAGAAATATAATTGGTGCTTAGCAAATTGAAAGCATACTTTTGATTGCAATAATTTCTTGCTCAGGTTCAATGCATCATTTTCTGAACTATATTCAAGTTGCAAAAGTTATGAGTCAGCTAAACATTTTAAGGTAAGAATTGTAGATAACCCTAGAGCTATGCATATAATTTTAAAAATTGATGTGATAGCTGTTATTTTTAAGAGAGCTTATTTGTAGGAAGCAAGAGTTATACTATTGGAGTAGAAAATAAGTCTGATTTAATTACTTTCCTATCTCTATAAAAAAGGGATACACACAAACTAACCCAGAGTTTAGAGTATACATAAGATAGCAGGTTTTATATATGGCTGAGAGAAGTGATCATGTATATGTCTGTTTTTTATACAATAAGCTGCAGCAATAATAGTAAAGGAGACCATAAATGACTAAAATGTCAGAGTAACCGGAAACCTCACTTTGACCAACAACCCAACAGTTTCCCCTAAAACCTTTTATCTTCACACCTGATATGTAGGTAAAAAGGAGAAATCTGTTTCAAATTTGAGGGCAACTAGTCATGATTCATGTCCTCTATCCATTTTCCTCCCATTTTCCTTTAGTAATAGTACCCCTTAAAATTTGATGTTGATCAGGTATATTCCTGAGGCTCTCTTATGATAAAATAGGGTTACCCAAATGAGTTATGGCAAATAAGATGTGAACAAATGTGATCTGTATAAATTCAACCAAATTCCCAGTATATGACTAAGCGTGCTTCACTTCTTGTCTCTTTCCTGTATGCTGAATACAGAGATGATGAGATTGAAACACCAACATTGGAAGTAGAAGAGACGAAGAAATGGAAAAACATTCCCTGACCATGTGTTGGAAGAAATAACATTATCAAAAATGGCCATCCAAGTCAAAACAATATGCAGATTTAATGCAATCCCTAACAAAGTTTTAATGGCATTCTTCAAAGAAATAGAGCAAACATTATGGAAATTCTTATGGAACCACAAAAGAGCCTAAATAGCCAAAGAAATCCTGACAATAAATAAAGAAGAATTAAGGTATCACATTTTCAGACTTTAACCTATACTATGAAGCTACAGTAATCAAAACTGTATGATACTAGAACAACAACAACAAAAAAAAAGATACACAGACAAATAGAATAGAATTGAGAGCCCAGAAATGAACCTACACCTCATGGACAGTTAATCTATTAGAAGGGTGCCAAGAATATACATTGGTAGCAAGGAAAGCCTCTTCAATAAGTGCTGTTGGGAAAATTGGACCGTTACAATGAAAAGAATGAAATTAGACCACTATTTCACACTATACATAAAAATCAACCCAAAATATAAAAGACTTGAATGTAAAACCTGAAATCATAAAATATACAAGAAGAAACAGGAAAAATACTCAGTGACACAGGCTTCCTATATGTCTTTGTGAATTGCTCTTTGGCAGTGAGGGAAACACTGCCAGAGAATATAAAACTATTGCCAGAAAATATAAAACCATTGGGAGTACATCAAATTACAAAGCTTCTCTACAGTGAAAGAAACTATCACTAAAATATAAAAAAATACATCCACTTTATGGAAGAAAATATTGCACAGTATATATCCAACAAGGGATTGATTTCCAAAATTAACAAAGAACTCTTAAGATTCATCAAAAAGGAAACATATAACCCAATCAAAATGGGCAGAAGAGCTAAATGGGTATTTCTCTAAAGAAGACATATGGATGGCCAATAGACACATGAAAATATGTCATCATTATCATCAAGAAATGCAAATCAGGGCTTCCCTGGTGGCGCAAAAGGTTAAGACACAACTTATGAAGCAATCCTCAGCCACTGCAGCACGAGTTCAATCCCCAGCCTGCCAGGGAGCAACCCACATGATGCAGTAAACCTTTCCTGTCTCGCCTGCTGCTCCCCTCAGCAGTGTATTTCAGTCTGCCTGTTCTGTTCCCCACTCTGTCTCTGGTGAATCCTCTCACCCCTTGCATCTCTAGCCTGTACCCCAGTTTTTGTATGTATAAATAAATAAATATTTTAAAAAAAGAAATGCAAATCAAAACTACAGTGAGATAATGTCTTACACCTGTGAGAATGGCCCATTTCAAAAATACCAGAAATAACAAGTGTTGCTGAGAATGGCAAGAAAAAGGAAATCTTATACACTGCTGGTGGGAATATAGACTGGTCCAGCCCTGTGGAAAACAGAATGGGGGTTTCTCAAATTATTGAATTGGAACTACCATATGACCCAGCAACTCCACCTGTAGGTATCTATCCAAAGAATGTAAAAACACTAATTTGATGGGATACATGCACCCCTATGCTCATGGTTGTGGAAGCAACTTAAGTATCCAAAAACACATGAAGATGTGGTATATATATTACTTGGCTATATAAAAAAAGATAAGCTTGTGCCATTTATGACAGCATGGATAAAACTGGAGGGAATTTTGTTAAGGGAAACTGGTCAGAAGGAGAAAGACAAATACCAGATGGTCTCACTTATTTTTGGAATACAGAGAAACAAAACAAAGGTTCAGATACAGCCAAACCAATAACAAATTCGAGAAATATGACTGCAGAACTGAAGTCACCAGAGGGGAAAAGGGAAAGAGAGGAAAACGTGGGGAGAGAGCACAACAGACTATGGTGGTGGACTGTGGGTGTTTTGATGATGGATGTGGTGTGGTGACAACACCTGAAGGGGGAGATCCTATACCTTTAAATCATATGTAGCATTGTAAACCAATGTCACATCAAATAAATAAATACAGACATAAACAGAGAGAAAGACATATGTCAATATTTTAAGCTATAATTAGGCATTCATTTCAGTAGAAATTGTTAGTGGAAAAATTGGAAATTATCTTAATTTAATTTTTTTAAATTGAAGTAACATTGATTTACAACATGTGTTTTAGAGGGAAATTGCCTTAATTTTAATATTAGGAGAATATTATACATAGCCTATGAAATGTCATAGCATGGACTGTAATTGTTTAATATTATATATCCAAATGATATTTTTCTATTATGAGAAAACAGGAGACCATTTTTTTCTGCAGTATATCCTTTAGCACTCTGGATATTTGGTTTTTCCTGTTTTCTTTGATGTGTTTTCCATAAATATATTCAATGATTTTAAAATCACTTTTAGAATTACATAATTTCTATGTCAATAATCAATGTGCAGTAACTTCTGTGAAGGATCATGTTTCTACTTATTCAAGTGATAAGCCCAGAAAGTGCGAATGTGGATACGACCAACTGTGCAGTTGAGGATGTTAACTAGGTCATGGTGAAGCTGACTTTCCTACTCTTGTATCACAGATGTCAGGTGTGACTGAGGCACTGAGTAATGTTGACTGACCAAATGGTCCAATTCTTTTTTGACTTCATCTTATGACATTCTTCCTCCCACCCCTACAGATAACAAAATTTGAAAGTGCTGTGCTATGCACTGATTCTGATTGCCATAATTACTAAAATCATAGATTAGTCTGGGTTATGAGTTTTGAAGTTATTTTTAAGGCTATAAATAAGTGTCAAAGCTCAGATTATTCTGACGGTACGAGTTAGAGGAATCATCAGATCATCATCAAAAACAGAATCTCTGGGGTGGGGAGAGCTGTTTTAGCCACCACTTCTACCTCAGAGGGATCAATTATCTTGCTACATCACTGGGATACCTTGCTAGATGGTTCTGAAAGGGAAGTTGTAGATCAATCATCAGGCTGATTGCATCCAGCTGAAATAAAAATAAGATTTTGTTTAAAACGTTTTTTTCTACTCCAGTATCATCTTCTGTTGATTAGGAGATGCAAATAATCAGTTTGATAGAAATTTCTTCCAATTCCCATAATGTGGTTTTATTATGGAAAAATCAGTCTTCAATGAGTAGACAGCTTGGTTGAAATAAAAATACTTTTTTTACTCTGTCTTTCCCTTAATTCATTTCATTTTTTCTTTTTAGATTTGGATTTGAGAAAGGCTGCCCTATTACTTGAAGAAATTATATTCATTCTCCAAGGCAAAGAGCATCACTATTTTCATGCCTCTCAGTCCTTGGAGAATAATAAGAGTTGTTCCTCCTTACTCCTGCAGGACTTGACAAATGAAGCTGAGATGTGTCTCACATTGTGTCTTTCTCACTAAGCCATGAGCAGGACTGTGTCACATTTTGTTTTATATGTCCACGTTCAACTCCAAGATAGGGGGTATTGTATAAAAGGCTTGAGTCAAGCTCAAACTGGTCCTTCAAGAAAGAGTGTTTTTTGGTGATGTCATGCTTATCAAAAAATTTAGACTCCCTGTTATTTCACTTATGGGAAAGCAGTGAGAAATGGAAGAAAATTATCTAAGAGGTCTGCATTTTGCATTTTATTCCCTCTAGATATTTGGTTATGAACTGGAAATTCCCTCTAGATATTTGATTATGAAATAGAAATAGCTAAAAGGAAGCCAGCAATGATTAAGTTGAATGAAACACATATTAAGGTTTAAAATTATATCAGTTTCTTTGTTAGATTTACTATCTACTTTTATCAATAAGGTTTCAAAAGTAATGTGATCTCTTTGATGAATCTTAAATTAAATCTGAGCTTTTGATATAGAATTTCTCTTCTTAGGACTGATTGGCTGGTGGTGGATGTAAATGGACATTTGGTGGTGGGTGTGTTGAGAAAAGGTACTTCTGGAACCTATACAGTATTGCAAATGAATGTTACCTCAATTAAAGAAAAAAGAAAAAGCAGACCCGTAAGATATGTTCTCCTAAAAAAGTTTCTCTTGTCGAAAAATTTTTGTCCCTTATTTGGGAATCATAATTCTCTTAGGGAGACTGAAGGACATCCACGCAGTTATTTCTTCCCTCTATGAGTAGGAATAAATACAATGATATTCTGACAGATATTTATTACTTGCCTATAAAAGAATGCATTAGGAAATTATATATATATAATTGGTTATGATTTTAGAGTTTTGTATTTCCATTAAATTCCATAACACAAAATAACTAAATTAGAAAGCTTTTTAGAAAAAAATCTACGTGTGTATTGCTTATCAGTTAAAAGAATTTTGTGGTATGGTTAGATTATGAGAAGAGATTGAGGTTAGTGACTATGTCTACAAAATTTATCTTAGCCAGGCAGGCTGCTGACAGTCTGGAAATTGGATAGCACAGACATTTAAGGAATCTGCACTAGGTAAGAGACAGCATAAAAAGCTGCAGTGAGTTTAACAACACAAGGCATTGTGCTATTCTTTCCCAATAAGCTACAGGAGAATACTGTCTTGAAGGAGAAGCTAGGGAGTGTTGTATAAAAGGCAGTTCTTGAAGAGTGAGGTTATTTCATTTAATAATTGTTTGTATTATCATATAGATCCTCTATTTGACCAGGTATGTTTTAGTGCGGAATAAAAATCATATTCTATAATTGTAGGATTGAGAGAATGGAAAGAGTATATAAAGGCAGACAATGCCATTTCCTGTCAACATGGGTGTAGAGATCAGATTCCTTTCATAGGAACAATCAAAGAAGAGAGAGAAAGCAAGGACCCTGAGTGGGAGCAAAACTGGTTCTTCTATGCTAATATCAGAGGAATGATAAACTAATAATACAAGTTTAAAAGATAATGAAAGAACTTCTACTAGGAAATCACTGTATTTGAGGCAAATGTTTTTTCATTTTCTTTGAAGTCCCAAATAATTTGTTTCCCTTGCAATATATATGCATGGATAAAGTTTCTTTGTGTAAAGAAATTTTGCATAAAGTTTGTTGTGACCAACTCCCTAGAAAACAGAACTAAATTGGTTAAGGAACTGGCAGATTGCTTATTCCAAATATTCTGGTTTGCTCCGATTTTGGATCCAGAGCATATTTCTTATCTTAAAGTATCTAGAAGCTAACGGCCAATTTATCCAGAGTTGATTTTACCCAATCACATGTTAGTCCCAACCACATGTCCATTTTTCAAATTATTAGCAAACACTTTATGCAGTGCCCTGGTATAGGTATTAGGATATAGCAAAAGATGTGACAGACAAATTATTTGTCCCTGTGGATCTTTTGTCTTAGCCACTCATTGACATCCATATATACATCCTTGTATATATGGGAAAAAACAAGATGATAGAAGTGACGTGATCTGGAGTTAAAATACTTGAAATAATGAAATACTACTCAGCTATAAAAATAAAGGTAATATCTGGCCATTTGTGAAAATATAGATGGAACTAGAGGGGATTATATTAAATGAAATAAGTCAAAGGGAGAAAGATCAATACCAGATGATTTCACTCATGTGTGGAATATAAAAATCAAATGATTTGAAGAGCAAAACCAAAAAAAAAAAAAGAGAAACAAATCAAAACCTTGTACTATGTGTACAGAACTAAGACCACCAGAAAGGTGGGGGTAAGCAGGGGAGCAGGCCCAGTGGACTATGGTAGACTATCAGTGGGCTTTGGTGGTAGACTTGTGATATCCTGTATTTGTAGAGGTGTGAACCTGTAGCCCTAAAACATATCCAGTGCTGTAACTCAACATCACTTAAATAAACATTATTTTGAAAAAAAGAATACTTGCAAACTGATCTTGGTTTTGTTTAAAATGGATCAACAGCCTCTATCTGGAGTAATATCAATTGCTGTGGCAGAAGGAAAAGAGTGCCCAGGGAAGCTGATAGTGGTTCTTGAAGTTTCCAGTGACAACAATCATAAAATAGTCACATCTGAGTTCCCCAGCGTGGGAATCCACACACAGGGAAGGCTGGTCACTATTGGTGAGTTAGTCAGATATCTTCCTTCTGAATATCCTCACCCATTTATGTCTGTTGCATTAATTTGTTATTGTCCAAGATCATAGGACCCAATTAATATGCTTTAATGATGTTTCTGGTCAATAAAAAAATAATTTGATATACTCTAGTGTATGATGTTTTGCCCACAGTTTCTAATGGAGTAGGAACATAGTTGAGGCACAAGCATGAATGTGAACTGCTGATCAACCTATGGTATGAGAAATTCTTTTGAACCTCCCTGATGGTATTCAAAATAATTCATCTACCAAACATGGGGTGGAGATCAGATTCCTTCCAGAGGAACAATGGGAGGAGACAGAGAAGGTAGGCACCTGGATGCCATACTAGTGCCAAATGCCATGGTGGTTTATTTCAGCTGCACAGCAGTTAGGATTAGGTTACGACGTGGTTATGTTTATGAAAGTCTATGATCATCCTTCATGATCTCTTGGACTTATGCAGGGGCTATACTGTGCACCCTTGAAATTCTGAGAGTGATATTAATCTCTGAAATTCCACCTGGCTTTTGGCACTGCTTCTGATTTACTAGCTTGGCTGTGGGAAGGGAACTAGTTGCAAGGGTTTGGCCATTGCTATCACGATGAATTAATTCTGCAATCAGGGATCTATTGGGAGAGTTGTACAGTGGCTTTGAATATCCTTCCCAGATGTACACTCAGGCACTAGGGAAAAGATAACTGGGTAAATCCTTGCAACTATTGAGCCTATTGTGCTTTGGACATGGGGTAAGACTCCATTTATAGTCTCCCTCTGCATTTCTCCATTTTAACAGATGGGTGATGATAACATTTTCATTCTCTTTGTGTCACATGTATCCAGTAGTTCTTAAAAGAATTAGTTATTTTCCTTTCCCCAGTTATTTCATCTAGTAAGTGGCTGCATATTGCTTGGAGAAAGATCCTGGGAATCCTAATCAAATATATTTTCTCTGGTGTTGCAGGGATCTTCTTTAAAGAATTCCAAATTACCCTTTAATTGATGATTTGGAAAAAAACAGTCCCAGGTCTGGAACTGGAAGAGGGGTCATGATTTTCCAATGTAGCAGCAGCTCATCAGCTCTTGACAAAAGTGCTCTCTTTGGCTGCTCAGCTTGTCTTGCCTATAGAAACCAAATGGCCTATTAACCTGTTGTGGCCTCCCTACTTCTTTTTTTTTTTAAAGATTTATTTTTATTTATTTTTTATACAAACACGGGGTACAGTCAGAAACGTGGGAGGGCGAGAGAATTCACCAGAGCCAGAGCAGGGAGCAGAGCAGGCAGAAGGACTGAAGTACACTGCCGAGGAGAGCAGCGGGTGGCAGGAGAGGTCCGTGCGCCATGCGGGACCCCCCTCCCGTGGCCAGGGAGCAGCCGGGGATCGAACCGGCGCCGCAGAGGCTGCGGGCAGCCTCACAACCCAGTGGCCAACCGCTGCACCACCGGGGAGGCCCTATGGCCTCCCTACTTCTGCAGATTATTGTTGCTGCTCCTGATGGGTAAGTGTGATACTTGGCTTCTGATGTTCTAGGTATCATCTCTATCAATGCCTAGATAGCATAATGATAGCACAAAGCCCAGTTCCATACCAATATTTCCTACCACCAACCTTGAGTGCAGAGGAGAGATGTTAATGAGATTCTGAACAATACTAGTGTTCCCCTAATTAATGCATTCCTATTATTTATTAAAATAAATGTTGCTTTTTTCTTCACTCTCAGAATCACACAGCTGGTAGGTTTTCTGGTTTCCCATATTAATGCTCTCCTATTAACCACTGTTCTGAGTGTCCTGATTCCTTCCTTTTTCAAAACTCTGCCAAGCCATCTCTGGCACCTTCATGTCATTTATTGCAGGTCATCAACATGACCAACAATCTAGGAAGTCATCCCAGGAGAACACTAGGACCATCTTAGGGTGTAACTACTTTACAGTTTATATACTAAAGGATTGGTTCTTACAGTTGAGTCTATATCAGAATTCCCTGTAAGGCTTGTGAGAACACAAATTGCTGGCCAATACAATGGAGTTCATAATTAAGTAGACCTTAGAAGGAGCCTGAAAATTACCTTAACAAGTATCCCTAAGGTACTGATGCTGGTGCAGGGACAATACTTTGAAGACCATTAGCTGAAACATGGGGTAAAGCCATCATTCCATCTTCTGTTCCCCAAACCCAAATCTACATGGTGTTGAATTCTGTCTTCTTCACCTTTTGCAGTGGTGTGACACAGGTGAGACATGTTTAATGAAGCTCAGATGAATGAGAACTTATGATATACATTTTAGAATGTATTTTTGATTATTTATTTACAATAACACTGGGTTGATTCATACTATTTGCTTCGGGGTTAGTTACTATTCATTTAGTTGTTCCAACTACTGAATTCTTATTCTAAAAAGGGTAGAAAAATATATAAAGCTCCCACATACAAGGGAGACTAGACCCTCAAAGGCATCCTAGAAATCCATATTTAAAAATCATAAACCAGAAAATATCATTCCCTGAATTAAATTTTTGTTACATAATGAATACAAAATATGATGGTTCAGTCATTGAATGAATTCCAAAATAAAAAAATGAGCCAGAATAGACTTTGATGAAGACTGACAGTGAGAAATTCACTGTCCAATTAATATTCAGATTTCACTCTTCACTCCAGCTTACCACTCCCTTTTCATAAGGCAGCTTGTCTAGGTACGGGCTACCAAGGATCAATTGTTGTGAATTTCAGATGTTCAGCAAGCTGTCAGAGGCTGCTTAGACGTTTCCAAGGAAACAGCTTTGCTTATCAGCAGTGTCTCCACAAAAGAACCAACTTTTAATACACTATTTCCTAGACATAGAAGCAATCAGGGAACTTCTACTCCTGAAAAACACACAAACCTTGTAGACAAAAATAAAGGCAGCTCACAGTCTTCTTAATTGGAAAGATAGTCCAAAATATTTTAAATTTATTTTCCTTTATTTTCAGTGGAAAGGAAGGACATATGATAAAACTTAAAATATTGAATGATCTAGTTTCAGCACAACTTACGAATTTTATTGCTCTCCTGTACTATAACATTATTTTAAGCAAGATTATTTTAGTATTTTATGTTTGAAATTTTATGATATAATGTTTTAATCTGTATAGCTGATCCCAGATGTAAGTGCAACTCTGTATGAAACTTGGGAGCAAAGTGAAACCTGGACTGTGATTCCGAGAATTTTGAAGCTTAGTAAAAGCTGAGAATGTATGTTCCTGTACAATGTCTAAAATTGCCAGTGTGGAAGAAAAATAAGTGGGTGCAGAGAAGAACTAACTGAATTAAATGCACTCTTCTGACAGTGAAAGGACACTATTTCACAGTCTGATAAGCCTTTAATAAGCACATTTCCCTGACAGCAAATCTGGTCAACAGTTGCCAGTGAGTGACTCCCCACAGAATTGCACAGGTGAACTGGCTATTTTTAAATCCATTGTGTGTGTGTTACAGATTGCTACCCAAAACCTGAGCATAAACTTGTAAAGAATGCCTTTCAGCCTATTGATTGCTTAACCTTCAAAATTACCTCTTGTTTCAGAGACTTCTAAATTTCTTCGCCTTTTCTTTGCCAGGAAATGCAGTAACAATCAACATGAAAGGGAAGAGAAGCAAATAACATCAGTTTGGGAAGATGGTTTTAGACTGATTTTGTTTGCATTCTGATTGGTCCTAATGTTAGTCTACTGTTCAGATCATAGCAATAAAAATATGTTTATAATTATAATTTCCAGGAGTTTACAAAATAATATGAGAAATCAAACATTAAATGAAATTTTTAATTGAAACCTGCACTGTTTGGTTCAGTGAAGCATTGTTGTGAGTGTTATGATCAGAGAAAGTTTTCTAAAATAAGAAAGAGCTAAATAAAAGTAAACTTTGGGCTTAAGTAAACTTAAGACCAAGTAGTAATTGCCAGCAGGAAAGGAAAAAGGAAGGAAATTGGGAGAAAGAGGACAACAATATGGTGAAGGTTAGATTTAGATTTCCAGTGAGTACTTAAGGTAGTACACCTGCATGCTGATTCTCAATGAGGAACACCTGAAATGTACATACTGTTAGACTACAATGGTCCCTCAATTAAAAAATAAAAAAAAGTGAACTTGGTAATGTGGCACCAGGATCAAAGATAACTGTGAAATTTATCTGTTACATTCACAACTTTGTTCTCAGAGATGAAATCTAACATTTAGGCACAGAAGGGTGAAAGCATGTTTGTCAATCGTTTGTGCAGGGAAAAAGCAGAGGTTTAATTTTATCACCAATGCAGTGATGGGGAACTACTGCAGGATTATTGCAGGGTATGTAAATCAGTGTGATGAACAGTTTGTGAATAATATCACTTCATTTAGTTAATCAGAAAATACTGCTTTAGTGCCTTTAATATGCCATCTTTGGCTTTAACGTTTGTGAGTTTAGTTTGGGCTTTGGAGTGACACTGCCTGTGTGTGTCTGTGTGTGTGTGTGTGTGTGTGTGTGTGTGTGTGTGTGTGGTAAAAACACAATGTGAGGCATATTCTTTCAGGTCTAGCAAGATGGTGACAGAGTGAAGACTCTAGAATCATCTCCTCCATATATTGAAAACCAGAATTTCTATTTGGTTCTTGTGCATACCTTCTATCTGTCTGTTGGTACTCTCATTTTGTTATCTATTTTTTCCCCCTGAGATTATTTAGTTTTCTATGTCTTATAACCCACTGGGCTTCTTTCAAATGGTTATTTTGAAAATTTTTTTTCAGAAAACTCCTAAATCTGCATTCTTTAGGGTTACTTTCTGGATATTTATATTCCTTTAATTAGTTCTTGCTTCTCAGATTCTTTAAGTCCTGAGTATCAGGACATGATGAGAAGCCACCTCTGCCAGTCCTCATGGACAGACTTTGACCAGGCAACACCTTCACTAATCAGCCCAGCTAGAGATTCTGGGGCCCTCTCCCAGCTTTCCTGTGTTTTTTGTATTTTTAGGTTTTGTGCATGTAGATTTCTCAATAGAGGGATTAACCCCTCCTTCCTTCCTTGAGTTTGTAATATTTTATTTCCTCTGATGACTGAGTTTTGCATCATGGTTTGCTTATTTAATAGCACATGAAAGCTTACTGTGTTGGAAAGTACACTAATAACTGTACCCCCAAACTTGTTCCTCCTTCAGTGTCAATGACTGACATCATAATGCACTGGGTGGATAAGCCTTAGAAACGTAAGTATCACTCTTAGCATCTTTTTGCTTTAACTGCCACACAAGTCTTTCACAAAGTCTTATTAGTTTTACTTTCCAAACAACTTTCATATTTTTTGTTTTCTAACTGTAACATGGCTGCTTTGGTAAAGACACCAATACCTTACCTGAACTATTGCAAAAATTTCCAAAAAGTTCTCTTTGCTTCTACTCTTCCCATGTAACTCATCAATTCTGAAATCAGAATTCAGAGTGACAAAAGGCATATGTAATCTTGTCACTTATTGGGAATTACCTGATATTATTATGATAAGACTTTCATCATTAACAGAATTCCAAATTCCCTTCCTGTGCTTCTAGACTGTGTTACTCTCTTTTTATACTCTGTGCTACAACCATCCTGGTCATGTTTCAGTTCCTCCAGCAAGAGGATATGATATGAGAACGTATCATATCCTTCATTCAGGAATGACTGTAAGTCCTTCAGTCTCAGCATAAAAGTGACTCCACAGGAAAGTTCCCCTGATACCTCAGTCTAGCTCAGGACCATATTCGTATTCTCAGCATACTTCATATTTATTTCTTAAGTTACTTATTGTCATTTTAAGAAAAGAATTATGTACTTGCCAGCTTAATATTATTGTTATGAATGTTTTTCCAGGTAGAAGGTAAGATCTAAGAGGGTAGATATCATGTCAATTTCATCTACACCATGTCTTCAAAATCACATAGTGTCTAGCAAAGAGGCTGCTCCTAATAGACATTCGTTGAATGAATGAATGAAGAAAGAAATGGGTGATGTGATATCTGAACTGAGTTTTGAAGAACATGTAGGAGTTAGCCATATGGCTGGGATGGGGAGGATAGCAGAGACATTGGGAGTAAAGAAACATCAGAAGGAGGAATGTGAGAGGTAGGAGGATGAGAATGGCAGGAGATGAGTTGGACTTTCAGCCAGAAGTAATGAAAAGTACTGCATGCTATTCTAAGACATATGGATTTTACCCCAATGATAGTTGGAAACTATAAAGGAAATTTAAATAGATAAATGTCTGGGTCAGATCTGAGTTATGGCATAAAACATTTAGCAGAAGTACAGTGAATGGATTGGAGAGAAGTAAATTTTGTGACAAGGACCAGGCAACAGTCTGCTAGACTAATTCACTTGAGAAGTGATGGTATCCTGATCTAAGGCAGTTGTGCAGGACAAAGAAGGGATGAATTGTGAAGATTATAAAGGCATTTAATTGAGATGACTTTATCACCAAGTGGAGAGTAACTGGGGATGGGTTATGGATTAATCCTTTGCTTTTCATTTTGCAACCCTGGGTGGATAGTGCTCATAGTCATAAAGATAGCAGATAATGTACAAGAGACAGATTTAGTCATGATGGCAAAATATTGATTTGCTTATTGTATTTTGTGTATGAAACACTTGAGAGCTGTCAGTGGAACTGCCTAGATGTGAGCACAGGAGGTAGCTGATAGCACAAGAGTAGACACACCTATCTAGGGAACAAGGTGGAGCTTTATTTTATAGTTGAAGAAGTCTTTGAGAGGCCAGTAAAAATTTTTCAGTTTGAGTTTGTGAGCATCCACAAAGTTTGGTTACAATTTTAGGGGTTGACATATAAGCGAAGACCATTTTTATTTGCTTCTAAAGAAGAAAAAATAGGGAAATAAATAAAGGAGTGAACAGCCAAGGTAAGTTCAAGAAGAATACTGCATTCAATTGACCAGAAATATGGGAATGAAAAAAGAATTTGTCAGAGAACAAAAGAGAGTAAGAAATTGGAGTGATCGGGGAACCACAACTTTCTGTTGTTACCATGAACAACTTTCTGTTGTTACCACATTAATATTATCTCAGACAGAACATCTAACAGAAGAATTTCAGGGTTCAGGGAAGGAAGGAGGAGGTTGAGACAGGTCAGTTTAGGGAGCGAAAGAGTCCGGTGTGACAGAGTCCTGGTGATAAGGACAGGATACCTTGGTTACAACCCAATAACAGCACACACAGGAGGGACCCCAACTGCACACTGTGGACTTCAGCTGATAAGAAGATGTCACACACAGGAGGGACCCCAACTGCACTTACACCTCCTGCAGAGACGGAATGGCAAGGCCTGGCTGACTATAGGTGAGCTGGGCGCCTGCTGGCCCTCAGTGGCCTGACCCCAGTCTCCATCTGCCTGCCCACTTCCCATTGCACAGATAGAGCAACATTGTGTTTTCTCTGTGCATGAGCAGAGCTGGGAAGGCACAGTGGTTTGCTGGGACCCACTGGCCTCCCCTCCCCCCAACCCAATAGTGAGGAGCCCTGGTTGCCCAGCAGCTGTTTGCTTTGGAGACAGAACTTGCCACTGTGTTCCATGCGGTCCACGAGGCCTACAGGACACTGGCAATCAGTGGCTGAACATTGAGAGCCAGAGGGCAGTGATGGAAATGTCTGCCCTGCTGGTCCTGCAGCAGCTGTGGGCTGCCCTGTTACTATTATATGACGGTACAAGACAGGTGCTGGGACTCCTTGAAGTTCCCTGGCAGATCCTGCTTTATGCTGTTCTCCTCGTTTAGACATTAAAGATTGGACAGAGTTTGAGGAGAGGGAAAGAACTTTCAGGAATGTATTCTGTTCTTGAAAAATGCCCTGGGCAAGGCCTGGGGAAAATCCCCCTTTATGTTGTTGGAGGACAACAGTTTTTCCAAAATTAACAGAAAGTGAGAAAGTAACACCAAGTGTACAAAAGTCCCCCCAGAAATTTGTAATGGATGAAAAGAGCTAAGCCTGAGAAATCATTGATTCAAAACAAGAAGTTTTCTGGTTATTTTTTATTTTTCAATTTGTTTTTATTGTTGCATCATAACTATGTTTCTCGAGGGAGGGTAAAGAGGCATGAAAAGAAGATATGAAAGTTTCTGCAAGTGGAGTTCAAATATCCGATTATAATTTGTAGGAAAGTCAGCAACTTTGTGTTGCCACATAGTTCACAACAGCCGATGGGATTCTGCAGAGACAGCAGTGCATTGTCATAGGTGTACAAGCAAAGACGGATGACAGTTTGTTAGATGATGGTGAAGGTATTCCCAATTAAGTGGAAATTGAATGACATGAACATCAAGATCTTTTTTCACCTCAGAGATGCTGTGATTCTCTTTTCAGGAATTCATAGGGAGAGCAAGAAAACCTTTTATTCTTCTTGTTTGAGAAAATTGTGCCTACATTCAGAAGTGCAAGTTGCACTGCCAGTGGTATTTGCATAGTTTTGGGCTGATGTGCCATGGGAACTATCTGTCAGATGTAGTTACAAGAAACATGTGATGCATTAGATTTAATCAAAGGCGATATGTCACAGCTTCTGCCTTGGGAATTTGCTAATGATGATGTGTGTTTTCTTTGTCTTTGAAACCATATGACAAATTTTGGGATCATAGAGTGAAACTTGCTTTCACTTTGATTTTAAACATTAAATGATCTTCACATTTGACCTCCTTCATGTACCAAATATGAAAATATTCAAAACATGAATGGCATCAGAACTTAGAATGAATCTACACATTCGAGGACTCAAGATTCGTTCACAACAGAAATCTTGAACAATATACTGGAAAACTCCAAGAATATAATTTATCTTGAACAACTGCAGAATGCGCAGTTGCTAGAGTAACACTATGTATAAGTTTCAGGCATTGTTTCTTTTAGGACAATGTACTCCTATTAATGAACTTGACAAAGTAAAATTATTAAATATTCTAAAATCAAGGTTTGATAATGAGTTACCTGAAAGAGCAGACTTTATTACATTAAAAAGGAGATAATGTATTATCTCTCACTTTTATATATTAGGTCTTGCAAAATAGCTCCTTTTTTAATAAAGCTTTTGTTTTTTCTTTTTGAAAAAGATTTATTTATTTATGTATACAAGAGCTGGGGTACAGGCCAGAGGTGTGGGAGGTGAGAGGATTCACCAGTGACAGAGTGGGGAACAGAACAGGCAGACTGACTGAAGTACACTGCTGAGGGGAGCAGCAGGCAAGTCAGGAGAGGTCTGCAGCACCATGTGGGCTGCTCCCTGGCAGGCTGGGGGATCAAACTTGTGCTGCAGGGGATAGCTTTTCACAGGCTGAGTCTTAACCTCTTGTGCCACAAGGCAGGCCCTTGCAAAATAGCTCTGAAAGGCTAATGTAAGAGGAAGGACAGCAACTAGGAAAGGGTCCTCTTTGGCATTCCATTTCATGAGGGAGCTTGTTTATCAGGCCTGCTGAACTTGGGCACCAACATGATTTAAGTATCAATTAGATCTTAGGGTAAGTAACTCCATGTGGTGTATCTACCTCTAGACTTCATAAGAATAGCAAACAGATTCCTTAATAAAAGCGAAAATCACAAGATGGTGCAAATTTTTCATACAACTGCTGAATACTTTTGGTAATCACTACTATTCTCTGCCCACTAACTCAGTAGATGAAGCCCATATTTAGGGTTAGATTAGCCTTGTGGGCCCTTGTCTTTCAATAAATTGGTGCCATTTCTCACTCCTATTTTATTTTTATTCACTAATATAACAGATATTTATGGGACACTTTCAGGGGCTGCATGTCCCCCTCACATTCATATATTGAAGTCGTAAGCTCAGAATGTGAGAAGTAATTAAAATTAAATGAGGTCATAAGTGTCAGCCTAATCCAATATGACTGATTATTCTCATAAGAAGACAACAGATATAGGTACACAGAGAAAAGAGCATGTGTAGCAAGAGAGAAGGCAGCCATCTACAAGCCAACGAAAAAGATCTCAGGATGAAAACAGACTTGCAGGTACCTTGATCATAGATCTTAGCTCCACAACTTTGAGGAAATAAATTTCTGTTTAATCACCCAGTCTACAGTAGTTTGTTATGGCAACCCTAGCAAGGGAGTGTAGAGACAGATTAGGTATTACACTGTCATTTAGTTTAGTGCATTTCAGTGTTTAGAAAGTACAAGAATAATCTGAATATTTGTTTAAAATAGAGATTTCTTAACCTCACCATCAAGTTTCTAATTCAAGTTTGATGTGAGGTCTCAAAACATAACATTTGTAACCATCGTCCAGGTGATATGATATTCCTGGGAGGTCCGTATTTTGGGAGTAGTGTTGCCTTCGTAAATACAAATGCTTTTCAGGAAGGTAATAAACAATCTTTGTCATTGATTGTCTCACTGGTTAACATTTCAGGAATGTTAAAACCCCAATGTTAAGGACATCCATCCTTGAAGCTGACAATGATGGGAGTGTTTACAATCACAGAAATTGCTAAATGCTGTAAGAAAAGACTTTTGTTGCTGGAAAGCCAATTAATGAGTATATTAGATTGCTTTTCAAAAAATACGGAACTAGAGAAAAGTTGAGGGCTTGGGCCTGCAGGGAACCCTCTTACGTGAGAAAGACACTGAGAGTAGAGGCAAAAATGGCCAAACTCTTATTTCAATAACTAAAAACAACCTAAGGTCGGCAATATTATCACTGTATTAATAATTTTACCAGACAAACTTCAGTCAGTTGGTTGAAAAAAAAATTAAACTGACAATGTGAACTTGAATCACTGCTCTGGTGCTCACTAGCATTTTGGTCTATTAGATAACTTTAGAGCAAAAGTTTACTTTTCTATATAAAGATGTAGATGGACAGGGCAATTTGAGCTGCCTCTTCCTTCTTGGAGATTTTTGAGGGTGGTAGCTTAATGAAGTTGTCAAAGCTGTGCCTCGAGAGCCCAATCACTCTAAAATGACTTTTTTTTTTTTTTGAGACTCTGGAGTTCATGTTGTGTAAGGAGCATGGGTCAGCCCTAATTACCTCTCAAGGTAGTTGTAAAACTCAAATGAGGTCATGTGTTAACAGAATTCTACAAACTCCACCAAGTTATGCAAAAACAAGGACAAATTTATATAAGCTCGTGATCTGGGAAATTTGACTGGATTGTGATTAGGTAAGGAAAATTGAAGAGCAATGATTTCTATAGAACTGTATTGGTTAATGGTCTCAACTTCACTTCCCTATGTTTGCAAGAAATGGAGAAGGGTATTTTAGTGACTAAATTTAGCAGAACTCTGGAGAAATTTCTTCCACACTGAAACTATGACCATGCTCATATTTATATTAATTTATATTACTTTCATTTACTCATTATTTATATCAACTTCTGTTAACAAATACATAATGTGCTTCAGTTGTGTGTCAGAGTTAAGTTATATGCTAGGACAGGATGTAAGACTGACAGATTTTCTATTTACAGTGTGCTCACCATTCTGGAGAAAGTGACAATTAAAAGGCATTTGGAAAAAAAAAAAAGTACAGTGCTTTATTGGAAAAATACTTGTATTATCTCTTAGGATTTGCTACTATAACCCTCTTCCCCACCTCCTTACCACCCCATGGGGGCCCCACCCCACCACGTGAAAACATGATACGGTTTCTAAAAAGAAGATGCAGTTATTTGGAGCAAGATGGTGAGATGATTGCTATTGATGTATGTGTATGATGCAGAATAATTACATATATTAGGATAATTATAGTGACTGTGTGAGCACTACTATTAATTTTGTTTAAATGCAAACTGGAAAGTATCTCTTTATTCAAAGACTTGAGTAAGCCTGCCTCTTTACAGTGGAAGATCACAGCAATTACCTGGAAAATAAAGACCCCCAAACAGTCTAGCCCAAACAATGTGAACATTTGAGTAATTTTGTTTTGAAAAAACAATATGATTTCACCAGTGTGTACTTTATCTGTAAGATTTTAGAATTGGATATTTACATGGCACAGAAGAAAAATTTTAAGTGCACATAACTGATGCATGTAAACCAACAAACACTAAGCTGGTGCCCCAGTATGTATTGATCCCACTTTTATGAATCTTACCACACTAGGATTGGGTGACTCACTGACCTGGAAGCACTGACTCTCCTGGGGCTGGCTAATTCCCAGAGAAAATAAACTATGTGTCTGGGAGTTTGCCTTTGATATGCAAAAAAACCAAGCCAGAACCCACACTCCTAAGGACCTCCTCTAGCAGCTTCTGGGAGAATATTCCAGTGCTCTGATCAAACCAGGGCAGATACTGGGCAACCAGAGACAACTCCATATCCCAGAGTTCAAAGAGACTGACTCAAACTAGCCAGTCCTGAACTGTTACCCCACTTAGCCGTTCCTTTTCACAAAATTCACAGCAAAAGTTTTGCACGGGATTTCCCCCTCTGCCACCTAACTAACCTGAGTGGCTTTGCGTTGCAAGGAGTGGTGTGTGCCCTCTTGGGAACTGTGCAGAATAAACTGTTCTTTTTAATTTATCAATCATTTACATAACTATAGAATTTGGGGAGCACAACGTCACACTTTTATATGAGCACATACTTCACATACCCTCCTGTCCTCTTACCTTCTCTACCTGCTCTTTCCATACCCATTTCTTTTGGAACCAGTATATTTTTCACGAAGTTATTGTTGATGTATTTGCTAATTTATTTTCTCTGGTTACTTATAATGCAAATGAGTGAAACCATGCAGTAACTGTCTTTCACTTCCTGACTTATTTCATTCAGTATAATCACCTATGTCTTTTGTCCCCAAAGACACTAATTCATCATTTTTAATGGCTGAGTTTTATTCCATTGAGTATAGAGTCCACAATTATGACTCCGCAGTTTTGTCATCCAGTTGTCATTAGGTACTTAGGTTGATTCCATGTCTTAACTACTATGAATAATGCTGATATGAACTCTTTGAATATTAAATACCTAGCAGCGGTATTACTGGATCATATGGCATCTCCATTTTACTTTTTAAGGAATCTTCATAGCATTTGCCATAGAGGCTGCACTCAATTGCCTTCCTACCAATAGCGGTTGAGAGGTCCCATTCACCATGGCCATGGCCCCCAATCTGTTGGCCTCACCATAACTGAATAAAAACAACACCCCAGGTACATTTTAAAGCAAAGTCACAGATCTCAGAAGTGGTCTCAGGAGGAAGTCAGAAGCTAGAGTGAGTTAGAAACACCTTTGGTGAAGCTGAGGGGCTGATTAATTTGACAGGGACTGACTGATAACAGAATGGAGGTGACAGAGAGGAAAGGTAGACATAGACACAGAAAACCATCAAAATAAAAACCAAGCCTATTTGGCCCATATCTGATACTGCAAAAATCTTCAACCTTCATATCACTCTGTCAAATCCTAAGGCAAAGACGCTTTTTCGATCAGCCCTTCTTAATCCTGAGTGAATTAACTGATAATACAAATCCATCTATGCAGAACACACAGCAGAGCCTCTGGGGTTGTAGCTGTTAGGAAGTTACCCAGGCCCTGTGTTCACATGTACCTGCCACAGATGGGCCTAGTGTTGTTCCACAGCACCCCAGTGAAAACTGTTTTATATGCATAACTATGTTCTGATGTAGGTACAGTAATTTTATTTAAGTAAGATCTCATATGAAGCTTAAGTATTTAAAAGAAATCAGCATTATATTAATACAAATGTGTCATATATGTTGAACTTCAGGACATCTATTTATTCAAGTAAAAAAATTAACTTCTATACCTTTGTTAGGAAAAGCGATTATGTTCTTGTATCAGCCTTAGCCTCCCAAATATTTCAAGGTTTTTGTTTTGGTTGAGTGATATATAGACACATCTGATTTCTTTTAAGTTAACAGCTACAAATAGATTTTTTTTCTCTCAGAATGCTTTACAATATTTTCTTTTAAAAGTTGTGCTTTATACACCTTGGAGAAATCTTTTATCCTAAGGTCCTATGGGCATAAAGTTATTCTCTTTAACTTTCTTCTAAAAGTCCAAACAATTTTGCTTTCTAAGTTTGTCTTTAATTTCCTTTACTTGTGTTATCTTTGGAACAAAATTTTAATTTAATGTGTATACCATTTTCCTAGTATCATTTTAGAGTAGTCTTTTCTTTCCTACTATCTGCAATTCACCACCTTTCTGTATCAAGCATATATATAGGTCTGTGTATTTCAGAACTTTCTTAGTTCGCTAGTCTCTTCTCTCTCTCTCTCTCTCTCTCTCTCTCTCTTTTTCTCTCCCTCCTCCCTGCTCCCTGCCCCCAACCCCCCACCCCAACTTGTTCTTCCCTGTCTTCATTGCTATAGACTTGTAATTTGTCTTGTTGTTTATTGGGCCCAGTAATTGTCAAATTTGAGTAGGTATCAAAATCACCTGGGAATTTTAGTGAAAATCCAGAGTCTAGCTCTCCCTAAGTTACACTCTACACATAGGTTCAGGTGTTCTTTAGCAGTTCTTTAGGAGACTGAATACACACCAGTGTTCAAGAATCACAGGGAAATTTCTTCTTCTTCTTTTATTTCCCCAGGGTTCTCAAGGAGTTATTTAATAGAGGTTCTCTGGTGTATAGTAGTGAATATTGCCTTCAACATTTTTATAATAAACCCACAAAGTACATCATGTACTTTTTATTTTTTCACTTGTAAGGGATTATTTATTATTTTTTCCCATTTTTTTATTTTATATATTTTTCACATCATTTTTCATTTTTGCACAATGTATGATTTTCATCTTGGTTATAGTCCCTGTACTTACAAATTATTTGACTATTTTTGCCCTCTATAATTTATTAAAAAAAACCCCAAAACCTAGTTTTATCTAATTTCTTTAGGGGATTAGATGGAGATATTATTAAATCTATGATTATTTTATGAAAATCTTTTCTAAAATTGTTCCTTTTTCTTCCTTATAAGATCTCATATGAAGAGATCTCATATGAATAATTTTCTAAAATTGTTCCTTTTTCTTCTATATAAATAGATTTATGTTCTATCACTTCACTGGAAAAGACATAAATTTATGGCATTTGTTAATCACAGTGGTATTCTTTTGCATTGAGGAGTATATATTTGGTCAATAGTACAAAACAAACAAACAAAAGGAATAGAGAGGAAGTTGCTTGGTGCACTGGTTAAGAGAACTGTGTTGCTAAAGAAGTTGAGAATTGACAAAGGGAATTTCATCCTTCAATTTTCCTTTCTCACAAATGCTAACAACATGAAAACTTGCATGGGTTGAGAGGATATATCGCAGTTCACTTGAATTTATCATATTATTCCAGAGTGAATAAAGTGCTTAAGTTCCATCAGGGGGAGTGTTCTCACTTTATCGATTTCCAGAAAAGAGTCAATAGGAGTATTGATTGACTTGACAGTTCTTTCTTACTCCTCAAGAAGCAAAAGAAATGGTGCTTAAAACTAGAATGATGAGAAACAGCACCGTTCTTACCCCTCTATCTTGCTGCAAAGAGATTAGAAGACACATTTACCAGCTAGAAAGTTTTCTTGAGTTGTGTACTTAATTCCGCAATTCTCAGGAGGAATGACAAAGTGGTTGCCATTTGCCATAGATTGATGGCATTTCTATTAAGTTTGGGGCAATTTTCTCATTCTGACCCCTTTTATAGGACTGATAGTGAAGCTGACATAAGAGACAAAAGAAAATGAATGATGAGAATACCTTCATCTTTTTTTCATATAGCCTTCTGTTCTCTTCTTTTTAATCATTTTGTAAGATGAGATAGAAACAGATATAAAATAACTTAGCAGCTAAATCCATATAAATTCAAGTTCTATCATTTATGAGTTGTAGGATCTTAGGGTAGTTGGTAAAGTGTGTAGCTCATTAGAAAAAGATGGGATGGTGATAATTTCTTTGGGCAATTGTTGTAAAAGTGCTAAACTAGTAAAAATGTAAAGATCACATTCAGCAGTGTTCTTCAAACTGTTCTTCATGGTCATTTATCATGAAATCAACATAGTGAGTAGCAGTCAATTTAAAAACATACAAACCAAATAGAAACTCTCAGTGTGCATCACAGGATTTAAAATGAAACCTCAGGATTTAAAATGTATCCTATATCACAGATAATCCCATACGCTTGCAGATAATGAAAATCTTGGTGAAGAACCAAATATCTATGAGATAAACTTGAAGACTATATTGATCCCAAATGAGGCTATATATTAGATATTGAGATTTTTTGCTTCAGTTTCTCATATTCACACATGGGCTTGTGCACGTGTGTGTGCACACGTACACACCCACACATACTGGGTTACTATGAAAAATGTACTACTCACTATGAGTTGAGGCAAAAAGGTTTTGTAAAACACTCTAAGTCAATAAATATTCACTTCTATTTTTCCTTTTAAATTTTACCTTTTACTTAGCTTTTTACACGAGAATGTCACAGTGAATACAGTCGACCCTTGGAATATATGAGGGTGCAATAAAGCCCAATGGAAATGTGGCCACAGGAGAGTCTCCCAGGCATTGTCACTAGTAATCTTATAACATGATATAAATGGAACCTTGAGATTTAAAATGTATCATATGTCACGGATAATCACATATACTTCCAGATAATGAAAATCTTGGTGGAGATACAAATTTCTATGAGATAAACTTGAAGACTGTATTGGTTCCAAATATAATTTTCAAATCATCCTATTAGACTCAACATAAGTTACCTCTCCTTCCTAATCCTAAAGGGTCTCATGTGTCCTACAGGAATGATGTTATTTTTCAGTGAGCACTGAATGAGGCGGGTACCTCTCCTGGCCCATGGCTGCTGATCTTTCCATTAACCAGGGCAAGGCAAGGTAGCCCTAAGAAACACTCTCATGACCACCTTGGTTCTAATTAATTCTTTCCTGTTTCTTTACAGGGTGACCTCTTCCTGGGATTTAAATCCCAACTCTATCAATAAACCCATGACTGCTTTTCTTGTCAGCTGGTCTCCTGGTTTGAAGCTGTTGGCAGAAGCTGTGCCTTCAAGTTTACTAGGGCCCATCCTTTGCCTTCTGGTGGAACATTCCCTTGAGGAAATCAGGACCTGTAGACCGCAGGACTTAAGGTGTGGAAATGAGAATCACAAATTCTCTCTGGGAAGCAGATCTCTTAGAGGCAGAGGCTACCATCATAGGACAGGAAGCAAAAATGCCTCCAATATGTCCTTGGGCGTGATGGTGAGGGAGGCCATTTCTGCTTCCACCCCGTGGTTTACAGATCCATGCATTCTAACAGCTGGGGACACAGCACAGCACCCAGCTAAGTATATATCAGGTGTCCTGGAGGGTGACCTCTCAGCCTTGCAGGTATCGTCCCGAGTCAGTGCCTTCAGATCAGATCAGCTGCTACTGGGTAGCATGGCATTTGTTCAGACCAGTGGATATTGTCCTGTTGCCACAGCGTTGCCTACTTTACTGTAAAGTGTGTTCTGTGATTTTGTGTGGGTTCTGCGCTAGCGGATTGCTCTATATTCTGGATAAGCCTTGGTGCCAGCACTCACTGGCCACCTCTATTGAGGGTATGCCTAAGAATGAAGCCAAAAGAGAGGAAAGCAAATGAGAGAAATGGAGAAACATTCAGATGACATTGCTTGAACACTTGGCTCCTGTAGTACCTAAAATAAAGGCTTGCCTGAATTTTCAACTAAATGAACTGATTTATTATTATTACTATTTAAGTATTATTATTATTTTTAAAGATTTATTTATTTATGCATTCAAGAATGGGGTACAGGCCAGAGGTGCAGGGGGTGAGAGGATTCCCTAGAGACAGAGTGGGGAACAGAACAGGCAGACTGAAATACACTGCTGAGGGGAGCAGCGGTGAGACAGGAGAGGGCTGCTGTGCTCTGTGGGTAAATCGCTGGTGGGCTGGGGATCCACCTGGTGTGGCAGAGGCTGTGGATAGCTTCACAGTGCTGTGCTTAACCCTTTAGGCCACCAGGGAGGCCCAAAATTACTATTATCATATTACTATTATTATTATTTGAGATGAGCTTCAGTCATTTACATTTGAAAGAACTTATAGGAAGCCACCAATGTTCCTGCCAGGGATCCTTACATATTCATTCTTTAACAAAGTTAATATCATATTTCAGGACTTATTCTGCCCTGAGAGTTATTTACTATCTTTAGGCTGAGTATGGATCTCTGATTTGATTCATGTTGTGATGATTTTATCATTGAAATCTCAGAAACAGGTATTTCCAAGTGCTTGAAAATCTTATAATACTTCCCAGCGTGACTATCAAGAACACGGTCTATGAGACACAAGGAGGCAGGGGTGTGGAGTGTGCAAGAACCTCTACCTTTACAGAGCATCTCTTGTGGCCGACGCAATGTTGTAAATACTTTCGTAATTAACAAAGTTCCTCCTCCCTACTGCCCAGTGAGACTGGTATTATTATTTCCCTCATCTTGACACTGAGGAAATAGGTTATGAGAAGCTGGGTAACTTCTGCTAGGTCACTCAGTTAATAAATAGAAGAAACACAGATTCTAAACAATTAGCACTGGCTGTATTGACAGCAGGACTCCAGAGATGTGCAAGATCAAAACAGGCATCAGGAATGAGAAAAGCCTCCTGCAGCCCCGTGAGTAAAACAGCTTCTCTCTTTTCACTCTTTCACAGCCTGCAGTGAAGCAGTGATCTGGTGGTGTCCTGAAGACACCCTCCAGATTACTTGAAGTATCATAGAATTGTGTGAAAATTTACTTTTGATCTGTTCTCAAACAAGTACAGGTATACGATTTTTATGTGAGAGGGATGATTTCAAACTTGCTTTTAAATATTTTCCTAACTTATGTTTCTGCAGATAATCGTTATGAGCCTAACAGCGCTCCTGCACTGATTCCCCAGCTTCACAACCTGGTCTCTATGCCTACCAGCTGATGGAGAAGGGTCTCTGCTCAGAGCCTCTGCCTTTGTGTGCACGTGGGCTCTGCAGCCCAAGTCACGTCAGTCTCCTTTGTGTGGGTTTTGAGAGTCTGAGATATTTTCTGCAAAGCATGTCCCTTCAAGTCGTCCCTGGTAATCATCGACAATTTCATCTCTTATATCTAATTCCCCACATACCAGCTTCTAATTGTATGTGCAAGGTTATTTTTAAAAATTTTTCTGAGCTCTTGATTGAAAGTATTTAAAGAACTTTCTAGGGACCTTGTAAGCTCAGGGCAAAATAAACCCATAGAGTCTTTTCATTCTAAGTTCTGCATTGATATCTAGTCTAGGTCAAGAATGAGTGACAGCAACAACTTTAGCACCCCTTGGGAGAGGGACTAATTCCATTTCTGGACCTAGTCAATTTGAACTTGTCTTCTGAGACTTTTGGGAAGAAATCTCAGAGAGACACAAAACTTTTGCTTGGGAGGCTCAACGGCCTAGTGGAGTAAGACAAGGCATTAAAGTCAGAGCATTTATGGTGTGTCCAGGTTCTGCCGTGTCGTGTGCGACCTGAGAAAAAAGACTTTATCTCTGTTTGACTTAATTTCCTCATCTATGAAACTGAGATGACAGTGTAGACCCTGCAGGTATTGCTGTGGAGAGCTGGACACATACACCACCCCCCACACACACCATTCACAGTGTGCTAAACCTTGTTTAAAATGCTTCATAAATAGGAAATTCTGTAATATTAATTATAACTTATGAAGGAGGAAATATTACGATTATCTTCATTTTTACACTAGGAAACTGAGTTTCAGAACTAAGTGTCACACAGTGTCACACAGCTAATAAGTGGTACAACTGAGTTTTTCAAGTTTAAGAAGTCTGACTGCAGAGTCTACACTTGCTATAGACTTTTCGTGTCCCGCCCAGAATTCATATGTTGAAGCCTGTGATATTTGGAGGATGTGGGTTGGGTGGTGATTGGTCATGAGGCTGAATCCCTCATAAATGAGATTAGTGCCTTATAAAAGGGACCCCAGAAAGCTTCCTTGCCCCTTCCACCATGTGAGCACACAGTTGGAAGATGGTCATTTATGACCCAGGAAGTCCAGACATCATACCTGCTGGTGCCTTGATCTTGGACTTCTCATTCTTCAGAACTGAGAGAAATTGATGTTTGTTGTTTATAGCCCATCTAGTCTCTGGTATTCCACTGTAGTGATACAAATGGCCTCAGGCAGATTTAAGCTCAATGAGTTTGGTTTCAGAGTACATGCTCTCAACCTTTATTATGCTGACTAAAATAGTAGCTACTTGCAGAATCTAGTTTTATAATATTTCATAAATGACTATGTCACATTGTGTCTGTGTGTGTGTGTGAGAGAAAGTGTGTTGCTTCTATAGGAGGTCTCACTATAGTCACTTTCAAATAGAAATTCGAATGAGTTTCATATATTATTAGGTATTTAATAAAAATAAAATAGAGCCACAACATTTAAATTATGCTACTTAGAATCATTTGAGAAGTGATAAATTTCTCCAGAATGTTGCATAAATTCAGTATAGCTCTCCTTGAAATTGAGAATGTTTGGAGATATTGATTAGCACTCTGAAGAACCTCTTCTCTGCTTAGTGCAGAGTGATATCCTAAAGAAAGAGTTTTTCTGGGATTTGTTCATAAAAGTAGGAAAAAACAAAACAAAACCAGAGGTCAAACCAATAAGCAATCATTTAGTTTCCATAATAAGTTGTAACCTCCAATATCAAGTTTAGTGTGTGAAATCCTAGATCAGAATTGAACATTGTTTCTTTACAAACTCAAGGATTTTTATGAGCTTTGACACACTAACATGTTTGTGAGTTTCTCGAGAAGTGGCATGCTATGATTTTTTAACTTGTTGGTTATGGACTGTGTGGTGGCTTCACTAATATGTCAGCTTGGTTAGGCTAAACTACACTCCCCAGAATTCCCTTTACTGTTTTTGGTTAGGGTGGGCCACAAGAGACATTCTTTTTTGTTTTTAAGATTTATTTATTGATGCATACAAGAGCTGGGGTACAGGCCAGAGGTGTGTGTGTGGTAGGGTGAGTGGCTTCACCAGAGACAGAGTGGGGAACAGAACAGGCAGATTGACCGAAGTACACTGTTGAGGGGAGCAGCAGGTGAGGCAGGAGAGGTCTGCTGTGCCTTGTGGGTTGCTCCCTGGCCTGGGATCGATCTCGTGCTGCAGTGGCTGTGGACAGCTTCATAGGTTAGAAGCTTCATGAGTCTTAACCCCTTGTGCCACCAGGGAGGCCCCACAAGAGACATTCTTATGCATGTTTTGAAAGGTGGAAAAGGACCAGCTGCCATTTGTAGCTCTTGTACATTGTAGTTTGTCTGCTGATTCACCTCATTGATGCAGGACAGAAGCTTGTCCTCTACTTTTTCTAATCACTCTCTATTTGGCTTTTCCAACTCAAGGGTGAGGTTTAAATTCAAGAAAAAGGGGACCAGCTCCTATAGGACACCCATGCCATTGCGGTCAGAGGCTGTAAAAATTGGCTTGGGGTCTAACTGTGCTCATGGATTTTTACTTATCCTTGTTCTTCACTTTCCATCTATCTTTCCTACTGATTGTCTATTCTTAAAACCTCAACAATGGACAGGAAGACAACAACTTTGCAGAGGTTTCTTAAGCAATTCCCATAATTATATAAGATAAAATTTCATAATTATAAACTATAGGATACATACACATATACATGGTGGAATATATATATATATATATATATATATATATATATATTTCCTGCTTTCTCATGGCGTAAATGTTCACATCTCTTGTACCTGATCTCTGAATTGCAAAAAATTCAAGATGTTCAAGATGGGCAGAAGCCAGAGCAGCGTCTCCAGAGTCCTGGCCAATTAGCTCCAAACTGATGTTCTCGGGCAGGATGTCACTCCAGGTCGTTGATCCTTCTTGGCTGTGAGGAAGCATGATGACTTAAAGTCAGTCTTGCTGTAGCTCTCAGTTACCCCCAAAGGAGGGTCTTTCATCACCCTCTCATCCTAAACCTTAGTCCGACTAATCTTGAGATTTTTTTTTTTGCCTTCCTCTCTCTCCTGAGAGATGCCCCTTCTTTCATAGTCAGAATCATTCATCTAAATCTCTTGATATAAAAACTTACTCTGTAGGTCTGTGTCTCAGTCTTCCTGCGTCAAGAAAACTTTACTTTTGTTCCAATTTCTATAATGAGTTAAATCTGAGGGCTGAGGTAACGGTGGGTGGATTGTACAGGGAGCAGAAAGGCACCTTTTGGAGAGAAATACTATTAAGATAGAAATATTGACAAATTACATAAGACCGATTCCTTCTCTTACTTCCTTATTCCCTTTCCCTTTGTCTCTCTCTCCCCTTCTCCCTCTCTCCTTCCTTTATTCCCATACAGATCATCCAATTATTATTTTTTTTGAAAGTTTTTTTTTTTAATAGAGGCATGTTTTTATTTATTTATTTGTTTGTTTGTTTGTTTTGTTTATACAAGCACTGGGTACAGTCAGAAGCACAGGAGGGTGAGAGAATTCACCAGAGCCAGAGCAGGGAGCAGAGCAGACAAAAGGACTGAAGTACACTGCTGAAGGGAGCAGCAGGCGGCACGAGAGGTCTGCGTGCCATGCGGGACCCTCCTCCGGTGGCCGGAGAGGAGCCAGGGATCGAACCGGAGGCCACGGGCAGCTTCGCAACCCAGTGCTCAACTGCTGCGCCACCGGGGAGGCCCTCATCCAATTATTGATCACATAATCTACATGACCTTTTTTACTAACCATTGGACCAAAATTGTGTTCCATAATTCCTAGTTTCTCAGGGCTGACTCTATTGGGGATACTCATACAATTAACTAACAATGTGTCCAATGTGGCCACTCTGATCCCTTGGGTAGGTGAAACGAGAGTTGGGAAAAGAACATACCGAACAGAAGAAATAGCATAGGCTAAAAACCTGAGGTACAAAAGGAATGTTATGGGCATATTGATTTTAGAATAGAATGGGGGCTAGGATCTTTGAAGGGACTGAATGACATATTAAGGAATCTGGAGTTTCTTCTTTTTTTTTTTTTCCCTAAAGATTTATTTATTTATGCATACAAGAGCTGGGGTACAGGCCTGAGGGGTGGAGGGTGAGAGAATTCGCCAGAGAGAGTAGGGAGCAGAACAGGCAGATGTACTGAAATACACTGCTGAGGAAGCAGCGGGCGAGTCAGAAGTCTGCCGTGCCATGTGTGTTGCTCCCTGGCTGGCTGGGAGTCGAACTCGTACTGCAGTGGCTGCTGATAGCTTCATAGGTTGCTTCTTAACCCTTGTGCCACCTGGGAGGCCCCTGGAATTTATTTTTACCAAATAGGGTGGTGGAAAGTCCAAAAGTGCTTGAATAAGAAAATGATCATTGCATTGTAGATCTCCTTTTGTAAGGATCCTGTATATAACACGTGCCTCATTGAGGCTATAGTGCCACAAGACTGGGACCATGTTCATTGCATCCTTGCATGCCCAGAGCTGAGCACATATGTGGTGTAGATGCAGTGTTCCCCAACTGTGTGTAGAGTGAGTGAAGGAAGTTTAGAGAAGTCACTGAAAATGCCCAGAGCCTGATTCTGGAAGATTTAGAAAGGATAACAGAAAACAAGTCAGAGAAGTCTGTCAGCTCTGATCTTGTCATCACCTTTCCTAAATTCACTCTAAATTTCTCATGCTGTGATTAGGTGCAGAGCCCCCTGTCCTTGGGGAAGTGGAGGGTAACCTAGTGGTACCTTTCTGGGCAGCAACCAGATGGGTGTGCTTGATGGTCATCACCAGACTGTCCTCAGTATCTCCAGAAGAAACAATTTCTAGTCTTTAAAATTACTTTTCCCACAAATCTCATTTTCTAACTATTTAATCATCTTTGCCATTGACCTGGATTTTCTGTCACTTCACCTCTTTTGACTGCCAATATCTCGCTTAGGAAAGCAGCAGCCTGAGCTCTCTGGTCTCTTAGGGAACAAATGTGGCCTTTGGGCTGAGAAGAAAGGGCGAGACATGAGTGTACAGGAAACATTTGGATAATGTTTGGCTTCTAATCAATATGTGACCAAGTAGCTATTAAATTACTACATTAATGATGAGAGGAACTAGAATTCAATTAAATACTGAATGGTAAAATTATAACAAATTGCTCTCTGATGTTACTGAGAAGCCACGGTGCTTTGGCTTTAAAATGAGAGGGGAAAACAGAAGCTATTGCTTGCTTACTATGTGCTCTTACTAGGAACTTTGTCTACTTTATTTCTTCTGTTTTTTCAACAACTCTAAAATGTAGGTCTCTGTCCCTGTGTCACCAATAAGA